GAGCAAACCCGCGTTCAGGTCTCAGACAGCGTGCAAATATTGAGTTCTCTTCCAAGTCTTCTGCTTGAATGGACAAATTCACACAAAAATTATGTCAACAAGTCCATCTTGGTGAGTATCCTAGCAGACATAGTCGGTTGAACGTACAGTATCAGTGAACTAGATCCGTGCATTGTTTTAAAGTGACAGCAGGCTATATAATTAATTAAATTTTTTTAAATTAACCTGCTATCTGTGTTTTTAACGTTAATCAAACAACAAAAGACAAGGAGATCACTCACTGCACTTGATTGAATAGCTTTTGAAACTTTAATAAAGATTAATCTTCACTTTATACAGTTAAATATGCCATTTTATTTAACATTTGATTGCTTTATTCAATTTCTGTACCTAAAAACTAATGTTAGAGCTACCTTAAAAAACCTGAAAAGCACTGTTTATTTTATTTATCTTTGCTCTATTGTATTTATTTGTGATGTTGCTTGTAGTTAGATTATTTGTTCTTATTTTCTTTTTTTTATTTGACAGTATAGTCATTTTCCCTCCTAAAATAGCACATACTGAACCGTTCCGAAACCGTGACTGTAAAACCGTGATACAAACTGAACCGTGAGTAATTTGCACCCGTTACACCCCTAGTAGTGATACTCTTTTCTGGAAAAAAAAAAAAATATATATATATATATATTAGGGGTGTGCGATATACAATGTTTTTAAAACATCAAAACATTATTAATGCATTTGTAACTGCAGGTTAAATGCATTCATGTCCTGAATTAAACAGTCTTTATAAATGCATCTAAATGCCACTTCAGGTGCAGATTCTGTGCCACATCTGCATTGCACAAATTCTGATTTCATTTGATTGGTAACAGCCCTATTGTGTCTTACTATATAGATTTATTGATTACATTTAATAATTTGGCACAAAAGATTATGCATACATTTCATTAGGTTAGAAATAATTGGCCTTTATAAAGGTAAAAATCAAATTACTTATTGCAAAATCAATCTTATTGGAAAAGTTCATTTCTTTTACTCCTGCAAACTAATCACTCCACAGAATATTAAGAATAACAAAAGCTTTGGGAGTCAGCCTAAACCTGCCAAAATACCAGCACAATAACATGCTCAGCAAAATATTGTCTAATTATCGTTATCAACAAAATGTATATGTGTGTGTATATATATATATATATATATATATGTATATATATGTGTGTGTGTGTGTGTGTGTGTGTGTGTGTGTAAATGTATGTATTTATGAATGCATGTATGGCGGAAACCATAATTTTTGGGGGTTTTGGTCATATATATATGTATATACAGTTTCTGATCATTTGTTTATTTGATGATTAATGACGAGTTTTGATTCTTTTAGTAACTATTTCATGCACACAATGTGGATAAAATGCAACAAGTAAACATGTCAGCTGTTAACTCACTTCAACATGACCATGATGCTAGAGTTGCAAAATTACCCAGATTTAGTTACTGAAACTTTATTTTGGTAATTAAAGTTTCTGTGTTTCTATAAATAAATAAATTATTGCTTAATGTCTCAATGTGAGGACTGTAAGAGGCCATGCATCTCCCCACCTGAGATGTGTTTGTTAATAAGGTGTTCAATGGGTTAGGTTGCCTTGTTTAAATCCATTCCGCTGGTTTTTTCCCTCATAATTAGAGCAGAAAATGCGAGAAAAATCAGCAGATTCTGTCTGGGCCTACGTGTAACTGGCTTTCCTAATGTGTCTCACACAGTTACTTTCTCCCTCATCATCAAGATTCACCTAAATACATGTCACAGTAAAGCAACACTTAATTGTGGCACACTGGGAGAAGTGAGAGGCAAAGCGACCTGCCTAATTTCGAACACAACTTGTTAGCAACCATTAATAGTCATTTAGTGCAGTCCGAGAGGAGTTTCCTGGAAGCCAGGCTCAAATGATCTACGTCTGGTTCTTAGTAAGTAATGCACCCTCAATGGACTATACATTAAGCAAATGAAAGTGGGATTGATTCAGCCAAGAACTGAATCACAAGAGCTGATTTGATGACCTTAAACTTAATGGAGAATAATTTTGCACTCAGACTCCCATGTGTCTTTTGGTGAATGTCAATGAGGAAAAGCAAAACCAAATTAAAGCAGTCATTTCCTTTTTTATTAAAGAAAGGAACCTAAATGACAAGCATTTCAAAATGATAGATGACAAAAAGCTGATTATGGTGGTCTCGGTTGTGTCCTTCAGAGGCGTTTTACTGTCCAGAAACTGCATTTTTCTCTCCACTGTGTCAGTGATCCAGCACTGTTTCACTCCCCTGACAGCTTACTTTCAATCATTTCCTGCTGGCTCACTCTTCTCTCCACCTCTCTATCTCTTTGCATGGACCGTCCTTCAGCAGACGGGGTTAAGTGCCCTGTTCGAAGCATCACAGTGATAGAGCAGAACTCTGATCCCAGTCTCACTCCAGTTCTCGGATCACCTCTACCTGGAACGAAACCTGCAACCTTTGTTTTAAGAGCCCAGATCTCTGACTATCAGACTAACAGCACCATATCAAAGCTATTAACACAACGTTTGTGATGCTCTCTAAAGAGAATAGAGTCGCTCAGTGCCATTTGCTCTTCTGTATTGTTTTAAAATGTGACTGGGTAATGAAGTAATCAAATGAGATCAATACTGGAGTATAAAGAATGCCTTCCAAACCAAAACATCATTACTATTCACTGAAGACGGTGAAGTCTCTCATAATGCTTCATAGGACACTAATGGCAAACAAAGTGGAATTTTTTAATTAAATGGATAGGTATCTAATTTAAAGCAGGCCGAATCTGTTTGTTTGTTTGTTTGCATGTGTGAGTGTAAGTCAGCATATCCAATGACAAGCGTGTAAACAAACCTCACTTTACATGCTCAAAAAAAAAAAAAAAACAGAGACCATTCTACAGTACTCTTGTCTAAAATGCAGAAATTCAGCACATCCAGACATTCTGGTCTGAAAAGCTCATTGATCAGCATTCAGTATTAAATCACTTTCGACTCTTTTCTGGTGAAAGCTTTTAAAACATGCAAACCTTGTTTTGTGTGTGCATTCAAAGAACCCCCATTTTTGTAGCACCGCAAAGAGGTACATTCATACCAAAATCCTTTGTGGCAGGTGGAAAAATTGGGTTGTCTGTGAGTTGAAATGAAATTCTCAATGTCTGTGGCAGCACAAAAGCAAAGGAGTTCATACCAGTCTCCTACTTTTGTTTCCTTTCTAGCCTCTTCTCCTCCATAACCAAGAGCCAGTCCATTACTCTGAGTCTGTTTTCATGGAGCCGCTCTCTGTTCTGCACGCTACAAAGAAGCTCTGTAGCCGTAATGACCATGTAGGAATGAAGGAGCCTGTAGGGAATCATGTGGGGTTTAAAGCATTGCCTCCTCCAGTATCCATGGAAAATTAAAGCAAGCGCTGCCTCAAAGCATAAGTGTAACATTTAAGAACGGGCTTGAGTCCAGTGTTCAAGAAATGTTACGGTGCTGGTGTGAAGGTTGTGCGACTTGCGGGTGTCCGTCAGTGTTGGATCTCGCTGAGGTAATCAGTTAGCATGTATTTTTATCTTAGTGTCCAGCATCAAATTATTATGCCAACAGAAAGCAGCTTTGATCATCTCCGAAGATTTAATTCATATTTCGTAAATATGGACGTTTTTTGAAAGGTGTTGCACATGCAAACACAAAACAAAGATTTAAAGGGTTAGTTCACCTACAAATGAAAATTCTGTCATTAATTACTCACCCTCATGTTGTTTCAAACCCGTAAGACCTTCGTTCATCTTCGGAACACAAATAAAGATATTTTTGATGGAATCTGAGAGCTGTCTGACCCTGCATAGACAGCAAGGCAAATGAAATGTTCCCAAGTCCAGAAACGTAGCAAGGAGATCTGTAAAATAATCCATGTGACATCAGGGGTTCAACCGATCTCCTTGCTACGTTTCTGGACTTGGGAACATTTCAGTTGCATTGCTGTCTATGCAGGGTCAGACAGCTCTCAGATTCCATCAAAAATATCTTAATTTGTGTTCTGAAGATGAACGAAGGTCTTACGGGTTTGAAACGACATGAGGGCGAGTAATTCATGACAGAATTTTCATTTTTGGGTGAACTATCCCTTTAATTAGAGGTTCTGTTCCCCTCGCTTTCATCCCAGGCGTCGGAGGCACAAAAACAGTGTGTTGAGCTCAGAGGTAATAACCCACATGAGCCTGCGGCAGTGTGTTTGAGCAGAGAGCCTATAATCAGAGACAGCGGACAGACTCATCAGTCTCCGCTGAAGGAGAGAGAGAATAAAAAGGAATGAAAAGGAGATGAGTACGGAGGGGTGACAGTGAAAGAGAGCTCCTTTTTCCTCCTCCTTCAGTTTGAGGGATGGCGTCTCCTCCAGCAGAGGATCAGAGTGCTCTGAATAGTATCTAGGCCAGAGAGTGCCTCCACAGCGCCCGTCTGCCTCCTGATACAGGTCCCACTTAGAGCCAGCGTGTGTATGTGTGTGTCCTGGAAAGCGGGAGGCAGGCTCATTGGTGTGTTTGTCATCTATATTGCCTTGTTATGTCTGTGTTTAACCCTGCATGCGGTTTTTTATGTGTATGTTTGTGAATAGATCCTTTCAAGCCAGCAATAAACCAGCAGTGTGGTCGCAGTGTTATGCCTGTGGCTTGATTATTGTTATTCCAGGCTATAGAATAGATGAGCTGTGGTTAAACAAAAGAAAAGGTTGGAAAGAGGGTGAATGAAAGCTGGGTAAACTGTAGCTCTCAGCATTTATGTCTGTGTGGAAAGCACAACTTCATACTTCAGATCAAGGCTGTTTGCTTAGGGGCTTCAGTGCCTTTTTCCTCCCAGTGTTCACTTCTCTTTTGTATATCTTTGGCTAATTGAAGGTTTATACGCTTTCACTTGTCACTGTGTACTCTGGATTGTGTATCTGATCTAAATTGTGTAAAAGTCATGAAACCAGAAAAACGATTATTCATAATGAATGAAGATGGCATGAAGATGGCAGAAACCACTGCTTTACATTATCACACTTGAGTTAAAAACAAAAAAAGACTCAACATTAAAAGATATCAGTATAAAACAGATAACATAAAACACATAAATGTGAAATGTCTTAATTTTCAGATTTTCAAAATGCTTTAAATTCGAAGCCTAAAATGATCAAGGTAAACAATCTGTATATGAACACTTGTGATTGTTGAATTTTATGTTAATTTGCTAAGTTGCTATGTTGCTTGGCAACCAAAAAGAAACTGGAGTCTAAAGGCTAATAACCTGCATTTCTCGGAGTAATAATTTTTTATTGTTTTGTTTTTTAATGATTTCAGCTATGTACTGATATATTTGTCTATAATGCTGTTTTCACTTTTTTAAAAGTTTTTTTAAGGGGGCATCTAGGGACTTTGTTTCATCATATGTTTCGCATTAAACTTTTGGGTCCAATATGCTGTTCAAATCCATTGTCAATGTGAGTACCACCCCAAGAACTGGCAGCAGATGTTTAACACTGCACCAAGTCACAATAAGAAAATGGCAACTTTGTTTAGTCATGTTCTTGATGAGTTCAGTTTACCACCCAAACTTTACACAGACACACACAATGCAATATTCCAGACATACACTGCCGTTCAAAAGTTTGGGATTGTTAAGTCTCTTAAGCTCACCAAGACTGCATTTATCTGAGAAAAAAAAAACGAATATTGTATAATATTATTACAATTAAAAATGTATATTTTTGTAATTTTAATATATTTTAAAATGTAATTTATTTCTGTGATGGCAAAGCTGAATTTTCAGCAGGCATTACTCCAGTCTTCAGTGCCACATGATCCTTCAGAAATAATTCTAATATGCTCATTTTATTGTCAAGAAACAGTGATGATAAACAGTTGTGCTGCTTAATATTTTCATGAAAATCGTGATACTTTTTTTTCCAGAATTCTTTGATGAATGGAAAGTTCAGAAGTACAGCATCTATTTAAAATATAAATATTTGTAACATTAGAAATGTTTTTAGTGATCAGTTTATTATTTCTTTACTGAATAAAAGTATGAATTTCTTTAAAAAAAAAACGAAAAAAACGAATGAACTAAACTAAAAACTAAATTTGTTACTCTTCAGTTCAACACGCAGTTTCTAATATCTCTTCTTCTGGTTCCTCCCTACAGGAGTACCTTTGTCCACCCAGTGGGGCCCTCAAGGGTATTTCTATGCTATCCAGATAGCTCAGTATGGCCTGAGTCATTACAGTAAGAACCTGACAGAGCGGCCACCCCACATGGAGGTGTATGACACAGCGGAGGAGAGAGACAGCAGGTCTAGCGCGTGGACTGTCCCTAAAGGCTGTTCTCTCACCAGAGTCTATGACAAGACCAGAGTCACATCAGTACGACAGTTCAGCACTCCAGGTACAGAAGCAGATATTGAACTACATGCTTTCAGTTTATTTTGTCTAGTTTCATTTGTCTGGCATTCTTCTGTTCTTCATACACTCCATTCTATTTTTTATTTATCTTGTATTCTAGCTCCTCCAGCTTCACACCTAGTATGTATACAGTTCAGTGTCAATTGGACTATAACAATAATTTATCTTTTTTTTTTTTTATGTCATGTAAACCCTTTAGTATGATGAAATCAAACCAGTTAAGTTTTCTTCATCCCTATAAATTTTCTTATCTCTTCTGTATTCTTCTATCAGCCTCTTTGCATGGCCTCTTACAGTCCTGCTCCACTGGGCATGCACATAAACACCCTCAAAATGTCAAAACACACTCTACTAAAGGTGCCTCATACACTAGCGCTGAAAGATTTGCGGTCAGTATGTTTTTTTTTAAGAAATGAAGGGGCATGTGGCATTGAGGACTGAATAGCTGCTGAAAATGTAGCTTTACCATTACAGAAATAACTTTTTAAAATATATTCAAGTACCACTGTCATCTTTTATAGATAACAAAGAGGCTATTTAATGACTACAATGCTTATTTCTCTGTAAAAATAGAATCATGGGAAAAAAAGTCTTCTTTCATCAGACAGCATTTTTATTCTTTCAGTCTCCAAATTGCACACACAGGATTATGGGGTATCGCATACAGTGAAGGAAACATCTATGCAGCCTTCAGAAATCGACCAGATGAAATCGACATCACAGTAGACAGTACATTCTGTTCCTCCCTCAGGATACGGCATAAGGCAGCATTTTTGGGGTTTCGGACACACCGTGCTGCTTAGCATTGAGCTAATCAATAGTCATTAGAATTAGCAGGGCTGTCGCGCTGGCAGGCAGTAATTGGTGTCATCACCTGGAGCATTGATTAGAGCGAGGCCACTTAGGACACACTGGTCCAAGGCTCCAGCAGGGCTCTGCCTCCCTTCTGCTCTCTCCGTCCTCCACATCACTGCTATTGATGGGAGGGTAATCAGAGCAGGACAGTACAAATCCACTTAGTCTCTGCATTGCCTTAAGTAATGGATTTATGAATGCATTAAATAGTGCCTGTTTGAGCCAAAATGTCCTCTGCTGCCTCTTTTCTTTTCCTTTGATTTGCTTTTGTCCTTTATCCCTCTCCTGTCCTATTTTCTGTGTTGCTTTAATGTTGTTGATATTACTCTTTCTTGCATGTTTTCTCTTGCTTGAGTACTAAGCCTCATTCTTTTTCTTGTGCTCTTTCATGCCTTCTTTTCTCCTCTCAGTAGAGGGTATGAGTTGGTTTCCTTTTTGTCCTGCATAACCTTGTCAGAAGGCAGCACAGACAGAGGCAGCAAGAGGGATTTGTCTCTTAACAGTGAGAAATAACTTTAGGATGAAATGTTGAATGTGCATTTCTGTAAAAAAGAGAGATAAAGTACTTTGATTGAGAGTTGGGAAACTGATCTGCTCGCTTTGCAGCGAGTTGCACTGCAGTGTGTTCAACAGTCTTCTGGAGGAGAAATTAGTTTTAGCACTGTCCAACGTGAGGTGGATGGTTTTAAAGTTGTTTCATGGTTGGAGCTTTTCTGCCTCTCTGACACAAAGTTGTCTGTTTAATTAACCCCAGGAGAAATTGACAAGTGAAACCTTGTGCCTTCAAGACAACCCTTAGCATCACTATTCACAAGTTCTGTCCCTTAGTGTGTGTGTGTGAATCTGTACTTATTTGGGTGCTTATGTACTTGTTTGTGCATGCAAATGATACTGTAAGTGAAACAAGAGAAAGCCACTGTAGACCTGTAGACGTGTTATACCGCTAATAATACAGTGACGCCAAAATTTGCCAAAAATATGTCGGCATTGCACAAATTTTGTTACCTGACAATAGTTTGTCAGCTTACTTGGTGTGATGTGCAGCAAATTGTGATAATGTAATATACAAGTGAAATATGGAATTACTTTGTGTATAGACAGAACTAAAATGGTGAACCAAACAGCAGCAGTCTGCAAACAATACCACATTTCATGCCAATCTACCACAATTTTGCATTCATCAACAAATTCACACTTCCCTAATAATATTAGAAAACATTTTAGCTGAGCTGCATTAAACTTCATATTATTTTAAAGAAATAATTCATCTAAAATTAAAAATTCTGTCACCAATTATTCACCCTTATGTCATTTTATAATCCATTAAAAAATCTGTCAAAAATACATAAAGGCTCAAAACAGAAAAAAGTGTTATTAATATTAAAATGCTTGGAAAAACATGCATCAAACTTTTGTGCTTGCAAGGGTTTATACCAGGGTTCCTCAATTAGTTTTCGCAGAGGGCCGAATTCTGCTAACAATACCAAGCCAAGGGCCACTGACCTATATATGTGTTAAATATATATAATTGTTACAATTATTATATTATTGTTGCTTTTGTTATTATATATATTTTTTGTTATTATATATATATA